AATTTCTAGGCTTAGGGAAAGAAAGAGAAATCTATTTTTAAATTTTACAGCCATTTATCTGTATATTTAAAGGGAGGAAAGTACTATATTTATAAGTGTGTTAACTGTTTTCTGTGCTAGCAACATGTTGTTTATATATACCTCCAGGTTATAACAAGTCTTAAAAAATTGTGCTTTTTTTTGTGTTGAAGTATTTTGCTTCTAAGTTGTTTTTTTTCATGTTTTGTAGCCTAATTGTAATTTGTCCCCAGAATTGCTGTTTCCCTTTTCTACAACAAGTTTTCCAAAACATCCTTTTAAAAGACTACGTGGGTACAGTGGATCTCTCCTGTAATCCCAGCACTTTAGGAGGCCAAGGCAGGAGGATTACTTGAAGCCAGAAGGTTGAGACCAACCTGTGCAACAAAATGAGGCCTGATCCCTTAAAAAAGGAGACTCATTCAATGTGTAGAAATTGAGGCCAGGCACCATGGCTCACATCTGTAATCCCAGCTCTTTGGGAAGCAGAGGTGGGTGGATCACTTGAGGTCAGGAGTTCGATGTCTCTACTAAAAATACAAACATTAGCCAGACATGGTGGTGTGTTCCTGTAGTCCCAGCTACTTGGGAGGCTGAAACAGGGGAATTGCTTGAGTCCAGGAGGTGGTTGTTGCAGTGAGCTGAGATCGTGCCATTGCACTCCAACCCGGGCAACAGAGCAAGACTCCATCTCAAAAAAAGAAAAAGAAATTCACATGCATATTTAAACATCTTAAACACTCTAATATCTGGGAATTCTAATTATCAAATTGAGATTTCATAGGAATAAGTTACTTTTTAAAATAAAGGTAAAAGCATTCAAGGGTACGATTTATATTTAAGTAATCTTTAAAACGTGACTTTTGACCTTATTAATACAACAGAAAAGTAGATTGGAAACTCCCGGAGTCTGCATATATATATATATGCATAGTCTATATATGTTTTCTTCATAAAAAGTTTTCAGGCCAAGCCTGGTGGTACACACCTGTAATCCCAGCACTTTGAGAGGCTGAGCTCAGGAGTTTGATACCAGCCTGGGCAACATGGTGAAACCCTGTCTCTACCAAAAATTAAAAAATTAAAAAACGTCTCCGGCATGGTGGTGCATGCCTGGAGGCTCAGGTAGGAGAATTGCATGAGCCCCAGAGGTCAAGGCTGCAATGAGGCACGATTGCACTACTGCACTCCAACCTGGGTGAAAGAGTGAGATCCTGTTTTAAAAAAAATAAAGTTTTCAGTATCTCACTGTTTTAGGTAAAGAGAACATTTTACAATTAAATATAATGTATATAGTGTATTCTTTTTCACTTGCAACAAGTATTTTTTTCTTGTGGCATTATATATTAACAATATTTGTTCTACCTGTTTAAGCAGTGCATACTGGTACTTTGCAAATATCGGGAGATTGTAGATGATCTCATTTGCTAAAATAATGTTAAACAACGATTGCTTGTAAACAGCACACTTTGTTTTGTATTTTCTTCGCAAATGTGGTTCTCTCACTGTTTTTCCCGTCTGTGTTAATTCAGTTGTTACTTTTCTAAAATGCCTCAAGTCTTGTTGAAATTATAATGCTTCTGACTTTTACAGAAAAGCAGGTTTTCCTTTCCAGTTAGCACAACTGGAAAAGTTTGTTAAGGGAGGTCTTCAAATCAGAGGTCACGAGGTATTAGTAGTTTGGAAACATAAACTTTGGTTGTTTTGGTTGCTTTTGTGCCGATACCTTTATTTTCCCGGCTGGGTAGTGTTTTTTCTTTCAATCCAAATACATCTTTAAAAATATAGATTTGCCAGTCTGTTCTATATTACTGCCAAGTTATTTTTATTGTTTCGTAATACATACCGTGTGTGTGTGTGTGTGTGTGTGTGTGTGTGTGCGCGCGCGCGCACGCGTGTGTGTGTGTGTAGCCTTTGAAAAATGACTTCACCTTTGTCTCTACACCTTTAGGGTAGAGGGTGGTGGGGTTTTCTGCAGTCCCTTATGCAGTGACTATGCCAGCTTTACTTAAAAATTATGCAGCTACTCGGGAGGCTGAGGCAGGAGAATTGCCTGAACCCAGGAGGCGGAGGTTGCGGTGAGCTGAGATCGCGCCATTGCACTCCAGCCTGGGTAACAGGAGGGAAACTCCGTCTCAAAAAAAAAAAAAAAATTAATGGAAATCAGAGTAGAATGTGCTTTTAGCCTCTTGGGAGTCCTAGAAATCACTTTATGGTGTGATTTGCAAAGAACTTCCGAGTTTTCTTCCAAGAAGCTCATATTCTACTATTGTGTCATTAGTCTGCTTTTGTGTCACAGCCGTATAACTATTTGTATGTGTGTTGGGGAGGTGTATACCAAATCAAAAATTAAAGTTGATACCATACTGACCTGACAAATGCAATTTTCAGTAAGCCTGAGAAGACAAAATTAGATATGTTTTTTTTCTGTTGCAACTCACAGGACTTTGGTATGTGGGGGTTTGTAGAGTGCTGAGATGGGAGATTTGAGCCATATAATTAAGAATGGTTAAAGGTAAAGTAGGTCTCGCAGGCCACTAGAAATAGATAGTAGGTATTGTAAAGGGTGTTACATTCTTCCTCTTTTCTTGCGTTTTAGCTTCATTCTCTCTTTCTGCCAATACATTTTCTCCATGAGTCAAGGGACATCACCATCAGTGATTTGAGGCTTATTTCCTCGTCTTGTAGCTAGTGTTTTTAACAGCTAGCTCTAGTCTGTAAAAAATAAACCCAGAGAAGGACTCTTGGTGGATGTAGTCTAGGATATATACTCTTCCTAGTGACCAGGGGATAGAGTTTATTGCCAAAAAGGAGTGATTGGGTCATCAAGGATTATTACTGGGCAAACAGAAAATACTCATTATTGGTATTTAAAGGGATCAAGTTTTGAGCTTATTCAAAAGTAGATAAAAATTCCTATGGGTTACAGTTTGTAGTGGAAGAAGTTTTTGTTTTTTTTTTTCCTCCCATATTATTTCCATATGCTTACACCTTTTGCCTGACCCATGTTGTAAATTCATATTCTTTGTTATATAGTACAGGTATAATTCAGTAGTTAGTTGGATCACTTTGGGTTTGTGTAGTCTATGCACATAATTTTTATTCAGGTGGTGATTAACTTAGGCCACTCTATGCCAAAAAAAGAAGGGCTTTGATTTGAATCTAGCCAGACTTAGAGGTTAAATGTGGACAGAAGGTGTCTGCATCCATGTGTGCCCATTGTTTTTCTTCTCGTTTCATTTCCTGTGTTTTTCCTCTTAAATCTAAATCACGTAGCCATGAGTCAATATTTACATATTGGAATAGGTAAGTCATATGATTAGTTTACTCTGATTATATAAAGTGTAGTTGATTGTTTATATAGGAGCTAATGTTCCTTTAAATGGATTCCTATTTAATGATTATCCCCTGGCTTTTGATTTTTTAAAAATCTTGGTGCAGTTCATTTCAACCAGCTGCAGTGCCCAGAGCCTACTATGCTCCTGGTACTGGACTTACAAAGAAGAGTAAAAACAGTTGTGTCCCCTAACATGAACTTAGAGACAAATATAATCAGAAGGTTCCCCCACATTATAATGATGCTAAATATTTGATATGCTCTCCACCTTAACTGTGACTCACATTTTGGTTTAACATTTAAAGGTTTACTTGAATGTCATATAATTGGAAAAGACCATATCACAAGTACACTTGATAAATTTTTACAAACAATGCATCTATGAAACCAGCACCTAGAATGACTCAGTAGTGAATACACCAATATATATTAATAACTAAATGCACAATAGTGAGAATATTGGAAAAAGGATATTTTGCTGACCTCAAGTGTCTTTTTTTTTTTTTTTTTTTTTTTGTGCTACCCGCTCCTGTGGCTAAGTTTCTTATAATATTATAATATAGAATGGTTTCTGTGATCTAACTGAATGCTAAGAATACCACTGTATGGAAGTGGAAGTCTTTTTTCTCTTGTACTAATTTTTATAGTCACTTATTTTTTAAAAAATGCTGTGGTATAGCTTACTATTTCAAACAGTTTTACCATGTAAAATCTTTGAAGAGAATGTAATATGTAATTATAATTAGTATTCAGTGGTATTTCTTCAGAAATCTTTCTTGTGATGCTAATACTGATTTTTATTTGTATGTACGTCCCCTGATATTTGTCAAATTAATGTTATGTACAACTAGAATAAAATCTTTATGAATTCATAGTTACGAAATTTACCTTTGCAACTATGAAGAAAAATGTATTATGAAATATCTCTGTGAGTATGGTTGAAACTTGTTTTAAAACAGACATTTTAAGAATCTTAAGCATTTCAGAGGCATCTATTCTTGAGCATATAATTAATATACTTCAACACTTAGCATATTTCCTTGTATATCTTACATCTTCAATAATTAGATGAGATTTGTTATTTAGTTTTTAAGATACTCTCATCTGCTCTTAATTCAAATGTAACAAATCTCTTCTTTATAAATGTGTTTTTTTCCCCGAATATTTTAAAGGTGTTTAATTATTTGATATCTTTATGTTGTTTAAAATAAATTCCAATATAACAAATTTTAGGTTTCTCTAATAGAAGGGCATATATCATTTATTTATTTTGAGATTTTTTTAGAGGAAGAAAGATTGGCTTGATTTTAAAACAGACAATGACATTTCTGAGAATATTAAATTGTCATCAGTTAAGCAAATCATTTAAAAATATTACAAGCTTACAGTAACTACTCTGTAGTGACTGAATTTATTTTACTCTAAAGATGTTTATTATGATCTCATGACTAATAGCATAAAAGATCAGGAGAGATTTAATATTTATTTTTTTCTTAAACTGTAGGTCATAACATGTTCAATGGAGTAACCGATTGAGTGAGAAAAACAGAAAAAGAGACAGAGAGATACAAGATTTCTTTCTAATAATTAAAATGTTTTATGTAAAGAAGCTTTGATCTCATTTATAATTCTTATTCTTTTAAAGGAGGGTGCATCTGCCCGGAAGACTCAGACTCCTGCAGCCCAGCCCGTACCAAGACCAGGTAAAACTGTAAAACTTTGGTTTATGTTTTATTTCTAAAGATCATAACAGTGCAACTTTTTTGGTGTGTGATAATGCTTTGAATAAATTGAAATTTTACTTATAATACATTGCAAGGTCATGTTTCTTTAAAGACTTGATTCTGCTTAAGCAGATCTCAAAACTGTGATAATGTAAATAAAATGCTTGCTAAACTTCAGTCAGCGTCATTAATAAATCTTGATGTTCTTAGCAGAAAGACATAAAGGAATTAAAGTGAAAAGCACATTAAATTATTCATTTTTGTATAGTGCATTAATTAAGCAGCTCAACTGGATTTTGTAACATTTTTTACTGAAGTACTATGTTCCCCAGTTTGATTCAAGGGTCATTGATAACATAGGTTTTAAAGCATTGTTTTTGAATAATGAAGTTATACTATAGAACATTTACTTGAATAAATAGGTATAGTGAAGGGTTAAAAAAAAATTTAAGAAAATGTTTTTATTTTGGTTAAAATTTGAGAAAAATGTTTTTAAAACATTTTTAAATGTTTAAAAGCTATTTATGTATATCCATCCTCTCACCAATTCTGTTGCAGTTCCATGGTAGTATGTAACATGTGAATTTTTTTCCTATAGCAGCACAGAATTATAATTTTAATAGACTCATATTCAGCTTTGATGCTTAGAATTTCAGGTATCTGTGTTTAACATCTAAATTTCTGTATCATTTTAAAAAAATATGTGTTAAACAAAGGTAGTATTGAAGTTACTTTAGAAAAATTCTTCCCCCTATTCCTAGTACCTAAAAAGACTCCTCTTTACAGATAACAACACTGTATTTATTTTCAGTCTTTTGAGTTTGTTTTTGGTGTTTGGTGTTTTATTTTTACATTTATTTAGCATACATAATTTGAGTGTTGGGCTATACCACTTGTCTTTTTTTTTTTTTTTTTTTTTTAAGTAACCTCATCAGTACTGTTGAAAGTAAGTATGATGAAGGAAAATAAAGGATTGGAAAGCACAGGCAATAACTTAACTGGATCTTCCCCATAAGTTTCACAGTATCAATAGTGTAGATTTGGATATCCTCTTATATACAGGCTAATTCTAAAATTATGTAGATTATGAATATTAAATATTTTCTGGAGGCACTTCAAAAGTGCGGTAGGTACATGGTGCTTATATTGGGATGGTTTTGCAGGGTAATTTCCCTGTGTCCTGGATTCATACTCCTCTTAGATGTGGCTAGTATTTCCTTTTTTTCTTTTTCTTTTTATTTGACAGTAGATTTGTTTGAAAATTTTGTCATTACTGTTTTTAAGTAGGAGTGGAGAAGAGGAGTGCACTGTCAGCCTTGTTACAGTCAGACAAGATTGTATGTAACTGACAGGACTATTTTTCAGTAGAGATGATGATACCAGAATCCATTGTGAGAGAGTAAGGAAGAACAATTAAATTCAACAAATATTATTTGAATTTCCATGTACTAGGCTCTTGTCCTGAAACTAAGAGAAGCTGAAGAAGCTTTTTGCAGGATGGAAGAAAAAGGTGAAGGAAATAGGGGTGGACAGATGGGGTTGGGTCCAAAGAATACTAACAATACTAGCATGAAGTATGGGAATATTGTGGGGGCAGTTGAATCACAGATAAGAGAATTGTTTGTTTTTCTTTGGGAGGCAGGGATGGCAGGTTATGGTTTGTCAGAAATGGCATTGCATAAAAGGGGAAAAGCCACCACCTGAGGATTCTAACTTAGAATCTATAATGTAAAATTTTTCTATTTTATATTTTCGTAAAGTAAGTTAGTATATAAGGAAAGGGCAGGGGAGGCACTGATATCCAAACAAACCGTTTTGTTCAGATGTGTCTTGTGATAAAATGGAGTTAAAGGAATTGGATTCTACTAGCCAATTACGTGGCTAGGGGAAAATCATATGTGTAAAATAAGGAGTTCTGAGTCTTTTTCAGTTGTCCTGCTAAAGTGAACTGGGGATTAAACTGATGGAAATTTAATCTGAAGTCATGTCTCATCATATCTCAGATGCTCTAATGCCCATCCATGTGATCTCTGCACTTCCTGCTTTCACTTATTTACACCCATGCATCCACATTTTCTACCCACTATTCTAAAATAATTAAGGTTTTTGCTCTCATTCAGCAATAAGACTTGATTGGAATGGATAGTAGCAGTTTGAAGTCTTTATTTCTCCTAATTAGTGTATTTTTATTTTGCTGCCAAAATTTTAAATGCATCTGCTTATGGGGGTGCAGCTCCATTTTGAAGGGATATTGTTTAATATCTGACATGTTCACTAGTATTATGCCTTTAAAATTTGAAAAATATGTGTGCCCAAAATATATATGGCCAGAAGGGGGATTATAGATGTATAACTGTTATCTTTGGGTAGAATTTGGATAATTTTGAAATGGGGGACTGAACCACCTATTCTCTCCTTGAGTGAGATACCTCAACAATGGAGTTCTGTTTCTGAGCATTTATAGATTTTTATTTCTCATTTCCTCAAGTATTTATTTGGTGCTGTTATGCTAGGCAAGTCTGGGTAAATTTAATGATTTAAAGTGTTTACAGTTAAACATTTTATACCTCTAAAGGTCTAAAAATTTTCACTTCTCAAAATTCATTTAGGGAATATAGCTAACAAGAAGCACATATTTTCCAGTGGATTCATAAATACAAGCATTTGAAAAGCCATAGTTTAGAATTCACTATAATTTCCTTTTTATAGCCATGTTAAATTTCTTGCACATATCCTTGTCTACCTTCTCTCCTCTTTCTTAATGTATGCACCATCCATACTTCACTAATTCATTGTTCTTTTGAGATGAGTAGGTAGCCTATGGTACTAGTTTATCTGCTTAACACCACTCATGTGAGATTGAGAGAGCGAACTAGCTTCTTTATATTTTATACAAATTTCTTATGCTATTCAGTCATGTAATTTATAGCCTAGCTATTGGTTGGAGTACTTCTCCTCTCATTCCATAGTTATGAATCTATGTGCTGACGATTTCCAAATTTATATCTCCAATTCAGACCTCTGGTATCTTCTGTTAACTGTCTGTGTAACATTTGGATTTGCCATAGGCATTTAAAAACGAATTAAGATAATTTTTTTCCCTGCTGTTTTCCCCAAGGTCTCTTACTTTATACTTTTGTGCTTTTTCATGGAGTGACACCACCATCAACTTCATATCTTAAATCAAAAACTTGGGGGTTATTCTTTATTCATCACATTTCCTTACTCCTTTTCTCATCTCTTAGTGGTTTCTGTCAGATGTACCTTTTCTGTATTCCAAATGTATCAATTTTCCTTTATCTCCACTACCACAACTCAAGTAGACACCATTATTCTCTCTCTAGACCAGTGGGTCTCAGCATGGTTGGCTACCTGATGTCAGCCTATGACCTCTTTATTTCTGGTGCCAAGAAAATAGATACAGAAATTAAGGGTAAAATAGTGTCATAGCATCTAAGTACATAATCATCTTTATAGAAATTCATTATGATTATTTTTTATTCAATTGACTTTGAATTGGAATTTAAAACAAAAACTCATCTTAACCACGCATAGTTGGAGTAGCACCTTTGTTGATTGTTGTAATAATCCTAACTGAGCTTTCTGCTTTCACGCATGTACCCTTCTCAATCCCTTGTCCAAATCCATTGTTTTTTTTTCCTTGCAGAAGTGTGACATGAAAATAAAATCTTGACACTTTCTGGCTTAATAGTTATAGGACTTTCCAGTGGCATTTAAATGTAAACTTAACATTGCTTAAAAGGCCCTACATGAATTGGTCTCTGCATGTATTTGTTATCTCATCTCCTGCCATTCTTCTTTTCTTCCCTGTGGTCTACCCATTGGCCTTGTTTCAGTTCCCTAAATGTGGCAATTTCTTCCTGCCTATGGTATTTTCCTACATTCCTACCTCTTATCTGGACTGTTCGCCTACATGTTCTTGGCAGGTTGGCTTGTTTTCATCTTTCAGATTTCGGCTTAAATGCCACCAGAAGCTTTTTGCATTCTATCTAAAGGACGCTTTTCTGCCAGTGTACACTCAATTTGTTCCCTTAGTATGTGTTCCAACTAGTTCATATGTTTGGTTGCATTTTTGTTTATGGTCTGGCTTCCTTACTCTGCTGAAAGCTCTTTGAGGGCAGGAATTATTTCTGTTTTGTTTGCAATTTAATACTAACTTAGCAATCCTTGTACATAGGCTCTGAATAAATATTTCTTAAGAATCTAATTATATTTGAAATCAAAGCAACAGTAATTTTTCTTATGGTTATTCTCAGCTTGTAAATTGGCAATTAGCACACTTGCTTGAGTGGTAGTAGAAGTAAAGCAGCAGCAGTTAACATCTACTGTGGTTGCAAGATTCAGGAAATGGTAAGTATGTGCTAACATCTAGTTAAGGACTTGAGCATGCATTATTATTTTTTAAATTCTCACAGCAATATCAAAATAACAAAACTACTATCTGTTTGATGATCGAGGAAACAGGCTGAGCAAAGTTAATCAACTTGCCTGGACAGTGGCAAAATAGGATTTGAACTAAAATTGCCTGAGTCCAGACCTTTGCTGTTGATCACTCTGTCATACAAACCCTTTAAGATCAAGCTTCTCATTGATGTGTCCATCACAGTGTCTCAGTCTTGGTCCTTACATACTAGGGAACTTGTTTATATTATTTTGCAGTTTTTTTTTTTTTAAACTAAACCTCTAAATTTTATTTTTAACATTTGTGGCCAGGAGAAGATCATATGTATAAAAGGAAGGAGTTCTTAAGTCTTTCAGTTGCTTTGCTAAAGTGCACTGGGGATTAAACCTCTAAACTTTATTTAGAGCTTTTGTATTGCCTTTTTTTATATATTGGGTCTTCTCAGCTTTGAGTTTAGTAAATGTTTGCCTTAATTCCTGAGAGCGTTTGTGGGTTTCCTTAGAAAATCAAACAGTACTTCAGTCACAGATTTCTCCCTTTCCCTCTTTCTCCTTTCCTCTCTTCTTCTCACTTCTTCTCTTTCTTACTTCCATCTGTTCATCACAGGGACTCCTTCCTTCCCTCCTCCGTTCCCTCCTCCGTTCCCTCCTCCTTTCCCTCCTCCCTTCCCTCCTTCCCTCCTTCCCTGCTTCCTTCCCTCCTTCCTCCCTCCCTCCCTCCCTTCCTTCTTCTTTTCTTTCTTCCTCTTTGTTTTTTTGTAGTTCCCTTTAGTCATAATAGCAGCTCCAGTTACCTGTTTATCCATTCTGTTATCCCTTTATCTCTCAAGAAATACCAAATATTTACCGAGACTATATTATATTCCACATTACACTGTCTAGCTAATTAGATTTATCTGTGACCTCCCATTTCTTAAAATGATTTAAGAAAATTCTAGTTTTTTTTTTTTTTTCTCAGCAAGAAGAGAAAACTGTAATAGTAAAGGCATATATCTCAGCTTGTATTTGTGTATATAGTTATCTGCTTTCTGAGGCTGGGAAGATCATACTACTGAACTCGATGACAGTTTTTCACAATGAGAGAGCTATACAAAGAATTAGTTAAAATGTAGCATTTTGCTGCTTTTTAAATAGAACATTTTCCAGAGGTGTAAGTGCTGTGTTATTCACTTTAAAGATGGTATCTGTTTTTAAGAATTGACGTTGAATTAGAATTTTAAGTCTCCTAAATTTTTATTTACTTTTGTGATTTAAGAAGCAAAACTCCAGCATAGCCTGTGGCACATTGAGTTCTTGTATGGTCAGATACTGAAAATAAAACCTGCAGCACTTTTTATCCTAAGTCATATTCATCTTGTGTTAGGTCATTATTACCATTATGTCAACAGCTATTTCTGTGCATTAAAAGTTCATTGCATACAAACATAATACAAAGATATGGGCCAGGCTCAGTGGCTCACCCCTGTAATCCCAACACTTTGGGAGGCTGAGGTGGAAGCTGATAGCTTGAGCTCAGGAGTTCGAGACCGACCCTGGGTGATATAGTGAGACCCTGTTTTTGTTAAAAAGAACAAAAAAAGATAGGAAGATTTATGTATTTATAACATGATCACAATCAATCATATGGTCATTTCCCGATAATACAGACCTTCACATATATATATATAACTGATTACCTGTAATGCTGTATTTCTCACCAAAAAAGAGACAAGAAACAATTTTTAAAAGAAAGGAAAAAAATAAAAGGAATATTTTAGCCTTAGCTCTCAATAACTTCTTTCCTTTTCTTCCAAAATGGTTAAACATATTCCCTTTCCATAGTATGATTTGCTTTTAGACTCTGTTTTTACATTTATTACAGTGGTAATCAGCTTATTATGAAATTATTTTTATTTATTTATTTTGCTAGATCTGTACATCGATGAATATAGATACTCAGTGCCTGGCATTGTAATACAGTAGTCCCCACTTTACCAAACCTGATTTGGTCAGTCAGAACATGTATCTTTTTATGTCTTCTGTAAATTTAGTGCCTTTTCCATCTTGACACCATCACTCACTGTGGCTGAAACTTTTGCAGTTTGAGGTTCCAAGGCAAAACTAGCATGAATTTATTTTTCTTCCTCACAATTACACAGATGGGAGATTCACTGTTTTTAATGTAGATGTTAGCAATTTTGGGATGTGATTTTTTTTTTTTTTTTTTTTTTTTCTTACTAAGTAGAGATTTTCATGTTTTCACCTAAGGGAAACACTTAATGTCTTTTCTTTGGTAGTGGCATATCCAGATTGTCAGCCTTCTCACTCTTGGACTTTGAGGCCATTCATAAGTCAAATAAGAGCTATTTGAAACTAGCACTGTGATAACAGTGAGGGAGGTGACTACTAAGTAAAGAGCAGGTAGTGTAGAGAGTGTGGATACGTTAGATAAAGAGAGGATTCACATGCTGGGGGGCAGTGTGAGATTTCATCGTGCTACTCAGAAAGATGTGCAGTTTCAATCTTGTGAATTGTTTGTTTCTGGAAGTTCCTATTTAATATTTTCAGACCACAGTGGACTGTGGTTAACTGAAACTGCAGAAAACAGAACTGTGGATATTGTATCTTCACTTTTTCCTTCTGACTGCAGATTGATGAATAATGCATTTTAATATTTTTGTGAAGCAGAATGTTACTTGAAAAGATAGTAAGTTGTAAAATATGTCTTCTGGTTTACAGTTAGTCATATGTGAATACAAATAATTTTTAAAATACCCCTTATTTGTAAGTTTGAAAACAGGAATATGGTTTTTATAATACACAGTGTGATTTCTTTTCTTCTTTACAGTTTCTCAAGCAAGACCTCCCCCAAATCAGAAGAAAGGTGAGGTTGTGCATATGATTTTTAACTTAACTTTAAAAAGTAAATGATGCAGCTATGTCACATATTTGTGCTTGGTATCCATTCTGATTAGTCAGTGCTCAAGCCATACTGATTATTAAATATTTTTTAATAGCCACTGGCTTAAAATATTTTTTAGATCAAAAGAGTTAAAATTATAATTTATAAACTTTTAACTTTTAGTAGAGAAAGTAAGTGTAATTCCTAATAACATATTTTCTACCTGTAAAATTTTGTCTTTATAGGATCTCGAACACCCATTATCATAATTCCTGCAGCTACCACCTCTTTAATAACCATGCTTAATGCAAAAGACCTTCTACAGGACCTGAAGTAAGTAATTTGTTAAATTGTCCTGTTCGTAGGACATTGAGATATCATTGGAAAATAGTAGTTACTGAATCAGTATTATTTGGAGAAAACAATTTCAGTTTCTGTGCTTTAGGCTTTACATGTTGTATGAAGCATAATTTTTCAAAACAGAATATAATCTTCTTTATTTGGATCCTTCAGGGAAACTTACAGAAACTTCTAAAGTCCTAATGAAAAAAGATACTATCATATTAACTTTTAATATGAATTGCTTTCTTTTGATGTTTTTCTCTCAGAGAGCTTGAGGAAGTTTGAAAACAAATTCAGGTTCTGTCTGAATATTAGATGTTACATCCTAATGGGAAAAAGTAGGTAGGTAGGTGGGTGGGTGGGTGCACAGTTATTTAACCTAGATAGCAGTAGAAGTTAAAGAAGTGAAAATGAAACCTATATATGATAATACAATTTTCAAATGCTTAACTTCTCAAAATTTTTAATGTCTATTTTCCTCCCCATTTTCTTATTAAACTGAATACAGTCACACTTGTACCCAGTTTGTCCTAATAAACATGCATCATGGTTATTGCGCACAAAATAAATCTCTTCCTCCCCAGTCACTTTCAGATTTAAAATTTAAGTAGTTTATATATATTTTCCCATAGCATTCCTTCTATTAATGAATATGAGTAGACATACCACTTTTAAGTATCATGACTACTTTTAAATCTGTGTACTAATTCCTGGATTGGTTACAGTTTACAGAAGAAACAGGCAATATAAAAGTTGTTTTAAATAAACTTCAATGATACATTAACAAGGCTTAAAATGAGCCATGTTTAAGTGATTTTCAGAATGCTGTCAAGTTTTTTAGACATAGTGTTGCAAAATAGTTTTTCCTCAGATTTTTTTTTAGTCATACTCATTGTTAAAATGGGTGAATATTTTAAATATTCATCTAGATACTATTGGCTGATGTAGGATTTTAAGATAGTTACTCCTATCAGAATGCTTTTTATGAAACAGGATAGAAAACGGAAGAACTCAAAAATTGTAATATGTACTATTTCAGAGGATAAGAGAGATACTGTGATCACTAGTTGGAGAGAAGGGGGTTAACTTTATTCTGCTTTAATATTTTCGTATTGTTTGTTATATTCTCATAGTACTTCTTATTAAACAGAAACTGTCAAATTTTCCTGTTGTGTTACATACCTGGTTATTTAATTTTGGTATTTGTTAGAAATTTGGATGGTTGCTCACTAATCTTAATTAATATGGCTTTATTTGAAATAGTACTGGCTTGAAGGCATGTCCTTCCAGAGTGATTTTGTGTTTGCTTTGCCAGGTGCTTCAGGAACATCTCAACCCTTAAGTTGATTTTTGTGTTAAGTTTTCAACATGAGGACTTCTAGTCCATCCGGGTAGGATAAATTCAAATTTGAATCAGATCCGAGTGACATTGGCTGACAAATTATCGAGGAGCCCCTTTTCTTTCCCTGTTCCAGAGGCAGATCAAGATGGATATGCTTCCCTGACATTTGACTGGAGACAGTGTTTCCCCCTACTTTAACCTTTGATTGATTGTGTGACTTTTCTGTGGCTCTAGTTGTAGCTCCTTTGCGTCCTTTCCCCATGTAGGTGGTAAAAGCCAGTTCTCAGTACTGCCTACACTTTCCTCATGGGCAATACCAGTGGACTTTTTTGGTCCTCAGCATTTTCTTCGTTTGTAGCCCATGACTATTTTCTTTCTAGCTCAGCTATGCATTTCAGGTATATATGACATTGTATTTAGCATTTCCAGGTGTTTATGTATGAAGTTCCAGTTCTAATAATGTAGTATACCAGATAGTATAACCCATTTTAGTAGGAAGTTGTTAGTCTGCCAAACGTACCAAATTTCTTAATTCATGTTTCATAATTGTTTGAATTGTACCTGAGGAGAATTAAAAATGAAGATTATTTTGTAAGTTATTTGCCTACTTAGCTATAGATTGTTTGCATTTGGGATACACTAGACGTTAGAAATAAGTTTTAATGTTTTTCTAATCAGTGATGTTGATGCTTTAGCTATGAGACAGATTCAGATGACTTTAGTGGTAACTCTCATTTGGGGAGATTGATGTGTATATTGGTTCTGTTCTTTCAGCTAACATCTACAGAGCAATAACTAAAAGGTAAATTCCTCTGTAGACGAATATACCACAAGCCCAGCCTTCTAGGAGCTCACATGATAGTGGTACTGGTTCGTCACTAATTGCAGCTGCTGAGAAATAAAATATGTTTAGCACTTAGTCTAAAACTCAGTTTCAATGCCTTATTCTAAGTTCAGTGAAAAACACTCTGTCTTTTGACTCGGCAAACTTGAATCACATTCTGAAGATAGATTCAGAAACAAATTAGACCTCAACAGTTATCAGCCTTTAAATACTTTATCTAGCTTCTCTCACAGATTATGTGCCATTAGTGAGACTGTGTATAATAGTGATTTTTCGTAATATATAAACAATTGAAATTTATTGTTTACTACAATTTGAGACCTAAAAATGATGTACAGTATATCTAGTTTGACCCACACTTATTCCTGAACAAAAATACTGATAGATAAAGTTTATGTTAGCCTTTTATCCCTGTCATGTAGTTGCAGAGCAGGAAATACAACCAGGTCTCCTGATGATCAATTTAGTAGTCTTACTATTTGTACTGTGGAGTTACCTAACAAACAGTCAGATTAAGAAATTAAGTTTTTATATAATTACATGGAAATTGAACAGCCTGCTCCTGGATCACTTTTGGGAAAAGGATAAAATTAATGCTTTTTTTTTTGAGTAAGAGTCTTTGTCGCCCAGGCTGGAGTGCCGTGGTGCAATCTTGGCTCTCTGCAACCTCTGCCTCCTGGGCTCAAGCAATCCTCCTGTCTCAGCCTCCTGAGTAGCTGGGACTACAGGTGTGTGCCACCACACCTGGATAATTTTTGTATTTTTTGTAGAGACTGGGCTTCGCCGTGTTACCCAGCCTGATCTCGAGCTCCTGGGCCCAAGTGATCTGCCTGCCCTGACCTCCTGAAGTGCTGGGATTACAGGCATGGGCCACCATGCCTGGCCTCAAAAAAATTATTTGAAACAAATGAAGTCAAAGATAGAATGTACTGGAATCTCTGGGACCCAGCTAAAGCAGTACTGAAAGGAAAGTTCATAGTGCTAAATGCCTACATCACAAAGTTAGATCTCAAATTAACCACCTAACATCACACTTGGAGGAACTAGAAAAACAAGAGCAAACCAGCCCCTAAGCTAGCGGAAGAAAATAACCAAAATCAGAGCTGAACGAAATTGACATGTGAAAATCCATACAGAAGATTAGTAAACCAAAAGTTGGTTCTTTGAAAGAATAAACAAGATTAATAGACTGCTAGCTAGATTAACATACTGCTAGCTAGATCAATAGAGAAAATAAGAGAAAAGATCTAAATAAACACAATCAGAAATGACAAAGGGGCATTACCACCGACCCCACAGAAATACAGAATACCTTCAGAGACTGTGAAGACCTCTGTGGACACAAACCAGAATACCTAAAAGGATAAACTCCGAGAAACATACAACCTCTCAAGATTGGATTAGGAAGGAATTGAAATCCTTCACAGACCAATAATGAGTTTCCAATTTGAATCAGTAGTAAAAATAAGCTACCAACCAGAAGCCCCTCAACCCCAAACCAGACAGATTCATAGCCGAATTCTACCAGATGTATAAAGGAGAGCTGGTACCCATCCTACTGATATTGCTCCAGAAAATCAGGGAGGAGGGACTTCCCTAACTCCTTTTATGAAGCCAGCATCACTCTGATACCGAAACCTGGCAGAGGGACAATAAAAAACAAACACACACAACTGCTGGCCAGTACCCCTGATGAGCATAGATGCAAAAATCAGCAAAATACTGGAAAATCGAATCCAGCAGTGCATCGAAAAGCTAAAACGCTATCATCAAATAGGCTTTATCCCTGGGATGCAAGATGCCTTCAACATACATAAATCAGTAAACATGATTCATCACATAAACAGAACTAAAAAATTACATGATCATCTCAGTAGGGGCAGAAAAGGATTTCAATAAATCCTCACATCTCTTCATGTTAAAAACCTTCAACAAACTACCCATCAAAGCAACATACCTCAAAATAATAAGAGCTGTCTGTGATAGTCCCACAGCCAAATCATACTCAACAGGCAAAAGCTGCATTCCCCTTGGGAACCAGAACAAACCAAGGATGTCCATTCTCCCCACCTCTGTTCAACGTAGTGCTGAAATGGGAAAGGTTTCCTTGCCCCCCTTGCAGGGCGTGCAGTGCGGGTGTGCCTCGCTTCTTCAGTGCCCTGCTGCTCACACCTCTAGGGGAGCACATAGATAGATGGGCCGGCTGTGGGGCTCCGACCCCACAGTCGTGTCTTTTGGTGGGTGTTTACAGCTGAAGCCCCAGTGGGCATGTATTATAGGGTGCTCTTTTGATTTGCCCTGTAGGCAGCTTGTGTTAACCAGCTAGTGAGACCCTCTACCTTATCACAAAGACCCTCTACCTTATCCCTCTCTCCCTCTATCCCCCTCTCTCCCCTTCCTTCCCTGCCTTCCCTGGCTAACCAGAGAGGTGAAAGAACTCTGCAACAAGCATTACAAAACACTGCCGAAAGAAATCAGAGATGACACAAATGGAAAAACATTTTATGTGCATGGATAAGAAGAATCAATATTATGAAAGTGGCCATACTGCCCAGAACCACTTACGGATTCACTGCTACTCCTAGCAAACTACTAAATTTCATTTTTCTCAGAATTTGAACAAACTATGGTAAAATCCATATGGAAACAAAAAGGCAGAACAACAAAGCATCCGAAGCAAAATGACCAAAGTTGGGGAGGCATCACACTACACAGTTTCAAACTATACAACAAGACTTGAGTAACCAAAACAGCATGGTACTGGTAGAAAAAAGGCACACAGACCAGTGGAACAGGTTAGAGAAT